GCAGTTTACGACGTCCCTGTACCTTAAACCCTAAACCCTAAACCCTAAACCCTAAACCCTAAACACTAAGCCCTAAACCCTAAACCCTAAACCCTAAACCCTAAACCCTAAACCCTAAACCCTAAACCCTAAACCCTAAACCCTAAACCCTAAACCCTAAACCCACCCATAGGTCCTAGATCCTTACTGTCCCTGCCGCAGGGGAGGGCACCGAGTTAAGACGCCGGCCCTCAGATCCAAACGATGCAGCCGTGTTTGGATTTAGGGTTTAGGGTTTAGGGTTTAGGGTTTAGGGTTTAGGGATTAGGGTTTAGGGTGCAGGGTTTAGGGTTCAGGGTTTAGAGTATTCGTGTGGGGGGGGGGGGAATTCATTCTTTCAGAAACCCCCATAAGCACTAAACCAAAAGCTTTGAAACCGAAAAGCGCGTTAAACGCTCAGAGTACCTGGCTGCAGCGAAAGCCCACTTCCAGAGACCCTTAAGGAAGTTGGCTTAGATTGGCGGCTCCAGGTTTAGGTTTTAGGGTTTAGGGTTTAGGGTTTAGGGTTTAGGGTTTAGGGTTTAGGGTTTAGGGTTTAGGGTTTAGGGTTTAGGGTTTAGGGTTTAGGGTTTAGGTTGAGGGGCCCACCGTCGCAAAGGGACACCACATCGTTTTTCTAGGAGGCTGCGCGCCCTTGCGGCCATAGCCGAATCTGCAAGAAACGATGGGCTGAAGTTCAGGGCTGGGAGTTAGGGTCATAAAGTGCTAGGGTTTAGGGTTCAGGGCCAGCAGCCCCAAACTCGTTTAGGGTTTAGGGTTTAGGGTTTAGGGTTTAGGGTTTAGGGTTTAGGGTTTAGGACCGCTGGTGCTAGGCTTCAATCAGGGACCTGGACAGCGACGCTGGCTTCGAGGGGCCACCCAGCTCTCTGAGAGGAAAGGCGCTGTTGACCAGAGCCTGGGGGGCCGAATCATGATACGAAGGTTGTGGGGTGGCTGGGATTTGGGGTTTGGGGTTTGGGGTTTTGGGGTTTTGGGGTTTTGGGGTTCTGGGGTTTTGGGGTTTTGGGGTTTTGGGGTTTTGGGGTTTTGGGGTTTTGGGGTTTTTGGGTTTTGGGGTTTTGGGGTTTTGGGGTTTTGGGGTTTTGGGGTTTTGGGGTTTTGGGGTTTTGGGGTTTTGGGGGTTTGGGGTTTTTGGGTTTTGGGGTTTTGGGGTTTTGGGGTTTTGGGGTTTTGGGGTTTTGGGGATAGGGTCCACCACGACAGGAAGGGTTTAGGGCGACTGTGTCGAGGGGCTTCATGATCCTCCCCTTAGTGTGGAAAGCCTTCTGAACATCTGGTCAGTAGCGGAATCTATTTATGCGCGGGGTTTGCAACTATCAGAGGGAAGGGGGAAGGGATCAGATTTTGCCAGCCAGCGCCTGTAAGAAGGGTATCTCGGCCAGCAACAGAAAAGCCTGCACCCTTGTGGCTGCATCGGCGTGGGTGAAGACCCGGCTGCCGGGCAGAAGCACCAGTGATGTGTGAAAGATCCAAACCTCCACTTTGGCTTCAAGCAGGCTTTAGCTCAAGCTCGGGTTTCTTGGGTCAAAGGAGCTCTGGAGTCTCCGTTTAGGGTTTGGGGTTTGGGGTTTAGGGTTTAGGGTTTAGGGTTTCATGCTTTCCGAACTTTTCAGAACCCTGAACATGGCAAGCAGTTGCGCCAACCCCACAATTCATGCCGGCAGCCTGCTACCGTGGCGTTCAGGCTAGGGGTCACGGATTTCAGTTGTCAGGAGTACTCGTGGAGAGCCAGACCTACCTCGGACAAAGCATGCCGCTACTAGGTCTCAAGCGAAGCACCGATCCTCCACACCCAGCCGCCTCAACATAATCCAGGGGCCGGAATAATTTCTAGTAGAGTATTCCCGTATGGTTCCTTTAGAAAAAATTTCTAAGCGCCCCCAAAACCCTATTCTCATTCTTGAGGCCCCTAGATGAACATCCTCAAGCCACGAGCCGAGAAGCGACCAAGGTCTTCTGGATCAGGGACAAGAGGATCAGCAGCTTGATTGTCAGGAACTTCCTTGGCTGCACTTATAACAGGGTAGCTATACATTGAATTCTTAGCTGTCTTATTAAGAAGCCCAAGAAATCCCAAAAAGGCTAAGGATCTAGAGTTACAGTAAAGCACCACAGAGCTTCGAGGTGGTATGATAGCGGTGAAGCACGTCATGCGTGGATCGGTACAGGGCGAAGAGTGCTTGCAGGCAGCAAAACATGGAGATGGACTGTAGGAGCTGCACAAGAAGCTCCACCTTAAACAGCCCCTACAACCTGAAGAAAAAAATCACATGTTTAATATCCTCTTGGGTTTTATATTAAAATATAGAAATAAATTCCCAAGGGGGATATAGCCACCTTAAACAGCCACTCCAGGTGCAGCTGCCTTTGGTGGGTGTTGAAGTCCAAAAAAGTGGTGAGAGAGGCAGCTACGGGAGCCACGTAGCAGTACTGCTCGATCATGGCCCTCATCTTGCGCAGCGTCGCCGCATCGAAGACGGAGTTTGGGCCATCCTTAGTTGTCCAGTACCTACGGGAACTAAAGGCTAACCTTTGGGACTATAAGGGGATTATATTACCCCAAAAAGGTTAAAGGTTACATACTCTACTACTAAGCATCCCGGAAGAAGCAAGGGAGGAGGGCCACGACGCAGCAGCAGGGGGGGCCACACCAGAGGCTCCTCCCAAACATCCCTTTCGGCTTCCGCTCTGCCAAGACCCGCACCGTGGTTTCGGGCCCACCCATGAGGTCGATGATGACCAGGGCAAAGAAGTGCAGCGCAGTAGCCTTAGGGATAGGATTAGGGGGAATGTTCTGGATATAATAATAAGGTGCCTGTTTAAGAGAGAGGGGTTCCCCTTTAAGGGTCCCCTTATTCTACCTAGGAAGCCTCCCAGATCTCCTGGACCAGCAGGGTCCCCACGGCCAGTGTCGGCGCAGCCACCTGGAACCAGCAGGACATGGCCACCACGAAGGGGAAGAGGTGCATGAGGATGTAGTACCTCCTCCGCGGGCTGATTGGCGCCTAGAATGGCCCTTAAAAGCCCTCTGGAAAAATATTCCTGAATATATGGTCCTCTTATAAAACCAATAAGGGAAAATGAAAAATGTCCCAAGGACCTACCTGGGCGCCTCTTTCAGTTCCCTCTGGTGGCTAAGGCACAACACTGCCGTGGCCCCAAAAAGGAAGGAGGCCCAGGCCAGTCCCACCAAGTAGCGTGTCTGGTCACTGCGATCGCCATAAACGATGATGTCCTAGCTTGACAAGCAAGCAGCCAGTTGAGAACACTGTTCAGCTTAGGGTTTGGGTTTTGAGTTTGGGGGGTTGGGATTTAGGGTTTCGGTTTAGGGGTTTGAGCTAACGCTCCTTTCAATGACAAGCTGAACTCTGCACTACTCGCAAGGCCGCGAAGTGTCCGTGATGGATGGCAGGGACAAAATGCGCTCGATCTCGTCCGGCCGTGCCGACAGCGAATCAGCCATGGCCACGATCAATCTACAAGGACACGTTATAGAGATCAAAACCCACACACCCAGACATACCGCCCTGTAACCTTGTTCCAGACACCCTAGGCCCCCACCAAGTCACAAAGTCCTTCCTATGCCCTCACTCAAGCATAATCCAGGCTGCTGGGCCTTCGGGCGTACCTAGCTGGCAACGAGCGCTCTTCCAACTAGTAACTAGTCGTTGTTTTGCAAGTTCCTCTACACGAATGCTATACGAGCAATTCCGATGTCATCGTGCATGCAGCATGCAAGCAAGAGCAAAACCTGAGCAAAACCAAAACTGATGACACAACTGATCCCGGAGCCCTAGACTCCACCGTAAGCTTCATCAATCCTCGGCATTTTCTCCGGAGCCTCAGCAGTCAGAAGGCACCTTGGCATGAATTAGTCACAAACCCCCCCCCAGCCTTCGACTGTCAGAAAACAGAAAAAAACATCATGTGTAGGTTTAGGTGAAGGGAGAATTATCCTCTCCCCCTAATATAAACCCCCCCCTACCCCGTTAAAAAACCAATATACTACACGGCTTAGGGTTTCGAATTTCACAAAGTGCCTTAGGGTTTAGGGTTTGGGTTTAGGGCTGCAGGTACAGGCCAAGGGGCTCATGTGGCCAGAATGAGGCGGCTAGGAACTGCAGGGAGCAGCATGGACACTTGTCGGAGGAGGAATTCTTTTGTCCCCTCCCCCTTCGAAGACTCTTCTGTACAAGCTGGGTTCTTCTTGCAGACATAAGAACCAGCAGTTGGCTTTATGGTGATCATCAGCAAGCCCGTAGTAGAAGCAATTGAATTCCTCTTTCGGTTCATCAAACTTGGTAGCCCGTAACCATATTTTGTAACCCTTTTTGGGGTTGGTTACTGTAAAGGAACCTAGAACCAAAAAAACATTAAAGGCACGGAACCACCAAGTAAACCATGCGACGGAACCCAGGGACTACTCCGAATGCAATGGAAAAGGCCAAGCGGTGGTGACGAGGAGGCGGTTCCCCAAACTGCGATACTGAGTTCGGCTACCCAGGTAGGTGCCGTTTGCTTCAATAAGCGACCCGTCAAAGAGGGGGGGGCCTATGCCCAAAAAACAAATATATGTATCTATGTATGTTTATGTATATTTGTAGGTGCTTATATATATGTACACAATGTGCATGTCACATATGTATATGTATATTCTTCATAGCAATACACATTATATATATATATATAATATCAGGAAGGGAGGTGCGCAGACTGGACGGGCAGCAACCAGTGGGCCAGGAGACGTCCATCTTAATTACCATACTAAAGATATCGGGCGGGGGGGGGGGGGGGGCGGAGGGGGTTCCGAAAACAGGGTACCCTTTAACAAATAAGGGTAAGAGAGAGGTATTTCGGGTTAATTCGGGGTCTCTCAGGACACTTGTTCTGGGGAACTACCGGTATACTAGGGGGAACATCTTTCTGCCGATTCGGCCACCCAGCACACGTAAGCCTATAGCCTAGGTAGCCAGCTCGCCCTCGGAGAGCCAGCGCCTCCGCTTTCCCTCGACCCACTCACCCGTTCGCGTCACCCCCTCTGATGAGGTGTAGCGGCCGCGCCCTAAGCGATGCTGTCATGAGAGGGGGGGAGGCAACCCAGGAAATGTGTCACAAATCTGTGACTCATGTGTTCAACCTTCGTCTGTGAACCCCAGGCCCCATCATCCTCCCTCTTCAATCCATAACGGACCCAAACCAACACCCGAAACAGCCGCAAACCTAAGCCCACAACCCGAAACAGCCAGGCCTCTACTGCAAACTCTGAACTCTGCAGCCGCCCCCAAAACCCCCGAAAAAAAACCTTCAAGTTCTTGAAGCACGAATAGCCGAAGCAATCAACCCTAAACCCCAAACCCTAAACCCAAAACCCTAAACCCTGAACCCTAAACCCTAAACCCTACGCCCTAACTACCGCCGAAGCCCGAAGACTCTGAGGCCGCCACCATGTTGCAGGCCCTGACGCCACTGGCCCTCGTAGCGCCGACCGTCGGGCCTGCGGTGCTAGAGGGTTTGTAGGGTTTGGTTTTATGGTTTAGGGTTTAGGGTTTAGGGTTTGGGGTTTAGGGTTTAGGGCGGTTTAGGGTTTAGGGTTTGGGGCTTAGGGTTTTAGGGTTTAGGGTTCAGGGTTTAGGGTGTCGCCCGAACGGGCTTTGGGGTTAAGAGGTTTAGGGTGGTAGGGGTGTAGAGAGTTGGGTTTAGGGGTTTAGGTCAAGCTTATAGGGTTTAAAAGGGTTAAAGGGCTTCCCGACCCTACACCAAACCCTAAAACCTAAACCCTAAACCCTAAACCCAAAACCCTAAAACCCTACACCCTAAACCCGAAATCCTAAACTCATCTGCTGAAGTCGAACAATCGAGGTTCAGGGTCGAGGGGGGTGAGTTGATGTCTTGTCGGGCTGCGGGTTGAAGGTCATGCCATGTCATGCTCTGAAAGGCAGGGCCAGGGTTTAGGGTTTAGGGTTTAGGGTTTAGGGTTTAGGGTTTAGGGTTTAGGGTTTAGGGTTTAGGGTTCAGGGTTCAGGGTCTAGGGTTTACGAACATCTGCGGCTTTGATACCTTAAGCACCTGAACGTCGAACCCCAGAGTGGGCCAGACTGAGGGGCGAGCCACTGGAACGTGCCTTGGCCATGTTTCATGTCTTCCTCGTATTGGCCTGGCAGCGTGGACTCTGCTGCACTTAGGAGGGTAGCTATGAATGAAGTTTTTGGCTGCCTTACTAGGGAACCCAATAAACCCCAACATGCTAAGGATCTCAAGTTACAGTAAAGCACCACAGAGAATATAGGGGCCTCAAGAATTACAGTAGGGTTTTGGGGGTTATTACAACCTAACTATAGCGGGACCCTAAGGGAATTTCCTCAGAATTCTTCCGACTCCTACATTTCTCGGCACCTAAGACCTGAAATCGCAAGCCCTCAGCTAAAGGGTTCTGGCTGTTGCAATCTCTCTCCCTCTCTCTCTCACACGCACACATGCGCCGCGCCGGCCTCGATAGCGGCGGCCGTCTGCCCAGATAAACTCCCCGTCGCCGTGCATCCGGTTGTTTCTGGGCTGTGGGATGTCTCGGATTCACTATTTTTTAGGGCTGAGGGCGATACCGATGCCGGCGGCAGACAACAAAAGAAGGAACACAACCCCCCCCCAACCCCCACCCCCCTGCCGCCCCTCATCACTGCCCAGGGGCAGCCACCATCCCTTGTGCCTGGCCAGCGAGCTGACGAAGGATAAGGTTTCGGGTTTAGGGTTTAGGGTTTAAGGTTTAGGGTTTAGGGTTTAGGGTTTAGGGTTTAGGGTTTAGGGTTTAGGGTTTAGGGTTTAGGGTCAGGTTTAGGGCTCCATGTCACAGGGGTGAGCAAAACATCAAGTTCAGACTTCTAGAGGTGTGTGGTTCCTGTTTCTGTCGGCTTGTGTTCGGGATCCCCTGCTCTCATTGCCCTGAGAACCTACAAACCCTACATCGCAGAAACAGCCCTTAAACGGTAAAACCCGAAGCCCCAAACCTACCAACGCGACAAACCTGACCCCTTCCAGAGCTCAGTGTGTCATAGCGCGTGCACGGCTCCCTTTTCTGAGCCCCAACAGCCTTGAAGACCTTGAACCCCAAACCGCATATGGGGTGGTTTACGAAAATCGGGGTACCCATTTTGGGGGGTCCCTTTAAGGGGATTCTATTCTATTTGTGGTGTACAAGGGGTACCCCTATTTTGGGAAATGCCCGTATAGACTGTCTGGGCTTAAGAGCTAAGGTTATGACAAACCCCTGCACCGCAAAGCTTACAAGCCCTAAGCTACCATACCGCACCAAAACCCCTAAACCCTAAACCCTAAACCCTAAACCCTAAACCCTAAACCCTAAACCCTAAACCCTAAACCCTAAACCCTAAACCCTAAACCCTAAACCTGAACTCTACACACCCCGAGCCCCAAAACCATTGCATTGCCTCCCACAGTTCTGTGCAACTTCTCCAACCCTAAACCCTACACCCTAAACCCTAAGCCCTATGACCCCTAAACCCCCCAAAACCCAGTAAGTCATAAACTAGTAAGGCCTAAGCCCTGAACCCTAAACCCTAAACCCTAAACCCTAAACCCTAAACCCTAAACCCTAACTTGGGGCCTTAGGGCTTGCCAGGGTGACGCCTTTAGTGTTCTTGGGCCGTTCGGGGCCCGCGCTCTGAACCCTTTTGTTGGAACCCTTCCTCGAGTACACGTTTCGGATATCTAGGGTTTAGGGTTTCAGGTTCTAGGCTTGAGGGCTTATAGTGTGTTGGGATTTAGGGCCTTGGGGTTTTGGGGCTTTTCGGATTCTAGAGTTTTAGGGTTTCATGGGAGCGTTTTGAGTTTTGGGGTTTCGGGTTGCAGGGTTCTCGGTTTTTTTTTGTTGATTCCTTAGGTTTTCATGGGGGCTTTAGGGCTTAGGGTCTAAGATTTCCGCAGCGGTTTCTGCTGCCAGAGTTGAGTGAAGTCATGGGCGCGGGTCCTACGTCGAACAAGCTGAGTCTTTGGGGCTTGGGATGTTGCCCCCTTATACCAACAGTCCTTAATAGGGATTCTAATCGGGGTAAGGCCTGTTAGTACAAGGGGAATGTCCCAACTTCGGGCATTTTAAGCTCTAAACTCGACTTTTCACGTCCAAGTTGCGAATTTTCGGCCCTTAAGTCCTAAATCCGCAATGCCCACCCGGAGCCGAGCGCCCCACAAGCGTCCACCTTTCCAGCTGTACACGCCGTATCCGTGCAGGTCGTTCCTGGCGCTGTTCGATCGGCCCCCTGCGGCTCCTCCCAAAAACAACCCTGCAAACCGGAAACCCTAAACGCTAAACCCTAAACCCTAAACCCCAAACCCTAAACCCTTAAGCCGAAGAGGAAGCACAACGTTTTGCAAGGTCCACCCAATGCAGTTGAGCAGGACAACACGACAGGTGTTTAGGGTTTAGGGTTTAGGTTTTAGAGGGTGTTTTGGGTCTGAGATTTAGGGTTGAGGGCTTGAAAGCCTTCAAGGGGCTTTGAAAACTTAATCAGCTTTATAGAGCGTTTACAGGGCTTAAGTCAACGACCTGAAGGCCCCCCCCCCCCCTCCAAAAGAGAGAGAGTGAGAGAGAGACAAAAGAACAACAAACCTACCAGAAACCCTGCAATTTCCTTCACTTCATCAGGGCTTGGGATGTTGGGTTTCGGGTCTGGGGTTTGAGGTGTAGATTTAGGGTGTAGGGCACCGGAAACCCTAAACCCTAAACCTTAAACCCTAAGCCCTAAACCCTAAACCCTACATCGAAAAGGGAACCTCATGAACCTCTTGAGCTCTCAGCCCATTCTTTGGGCACCCCGACTGCTGGAAGGCGCCCTCGTAGTGGGAGCCATCCGACCACTCAAACCGGCCGTGGCCTTGGATTTGTTTTTTTCTTTTACTATTTGTTTTTTTATTTTTTATTTTTTTTCGGGGGGTTCCTTTTTTTCAATTGTTTTTTTTTTTTTTTTTTTGGGGGGGGGGGGGGCTTCTTCTTTTTTTTTTTTTTTTTTTTTTTTTTTGGGGGGGGGGGTGGCAAACCTTAAACCCTAAACCCCAAACCCTAAACCCCCAACCCTCAACCCTGAATCCCTCAAGCCTAAACCCCTCAACCCTTAACTGTTGAAGGCCGAGTAGAGTTTAGGGCTTTGGGGTTTGTTTAGCAGTTGGAACCAGGGCTTAAGCGGGGATAGGGTGATTCCCACGGCGCCAACCCCCCCCCCCCCCCGTGTTCTGCCCCTCGCCCCCCCCCCGCCCCCCCCCCCCCCCCCCCCGCGCCCCCCCCCCCGCCCCCCCCCCCCCCCCTCCCTCCACACCCCAAAATCGGGGTAGCGCATTCCGATTCACACACTGACACACTGCGACTGCAACCCTTTAAGTACACAGACGTTCAGATAATTGAGTCATTTTGTATGTTGTTACTTCATGTTCTTTGGAGGGCGAGTTGGTAAAGCAGCCAGGCCACGTGGGAAAACTGACGTATTTCTACCACGAGCTCTGAAACACATTCTGAATGGAAGCCCCATGCAGCAGATGCCCATAGATGGCATGGGATGTTGCCATCGTATACTCCAACGAAGTACAATTAAAAATGTACAATCGCATCATGACATACATACAGGCTGAAGATCACCTTATATCCTCCCATACCCAAATACAACCATACCCTATCATGAAATCCTAAAAGAAAATAAACGCAAAATGCAAGGTTATGCCATACAATATCATCCAGATAATATACTAGTGCATAATCATATATTATCATACAAAACCTTTAGCTGCTTCCGAGTAAGACCCTATAAACCGTGCACCCCAAACCTAGACCCCCCCCTCACCCCTCAACCTGGACGTTACAACCCTAAACCCTAAACATTTTAGACCCTAAGCCCTAAGCCCTAAGCCCTAAGCCCTAAGCCCTAAGCCCTAAGCCCTAAGCCCTAAGCCCTAAGCCCTAAGCCTAAGCCCTAAGCCCTAAGCCCTAAGCCCTAAACCCTAAACCGTAAACCCTAAACCCTAAACCCTAAACCCTAAACCCTAAACCCTAAACCCTAAACCCTGCCATGCCCCCGAGCCGTGTTTGAAGCCATCCCGGTACTGCCCTGTGAAGGTCGCACCATCTGGCCAGCATTCCACGCCTGGCCGCGGCTTGCCGGGAGATAGGGTTTAGGGTTTAGGTTCTAGGGTTTAGGGTTTAGGGTTTACGGTTTAGGGGTTAGGGTTTAGGGTTTACGGTTTAGGGTTTAGGGGTTAGGGTTTAGGGTTTAGGGTTTAGGGTTTAGGGTTTAGGGTTTAGGGTTTAGGGTCTAGGGTCCAGGGTTTAGGGTTTAGGGTTTACTTAGGCGACCCTCGACTTAACTTGTTGGGTTCTTGAGGGAGGGGGGTTCAAGGGGGGTATCCCAAGGTTCCCTAATGCTCCCTACACTCCCTAGGGCTCCCTAGCTTGATTTTCAGGTTCCTTAGGTACCTACCCCCCTTGAACCCCCACCCCCTCCTGTAAGAACCTGAGAATTAGCAAAAAAAACACACATTTCTTCCTTACGTCGTGTTTTTTTCCATTTCCGGAGTGCTTATGACAATTTGCTAGTGGCGGTTTAACATCAAGGTCGGGGCCGGGGGTTCATGTTAGAGGGGCGGGGAATGAGCAAAAACATCCAAGCTCACCGAGCCCTAAACTCTTTAGAATCCCCTCATAGGGACCCCAACAAAGGTATCCCGAAACCCTAAACCCTAGACCCTGATTTCGCAAACCTTCGCCATGTTGTCGGTCGAAGGCGAACTGGCCCTGGCGTGGGCGCATCTAAACCCTAAACTGAATTTTATATCGGGTTTAGGGTTTAGGGTTTAAAGAGGCTATACTTAGACCCAGGACCCAAAACGCCGAAGCCAAGCCAGTGAGCTCAAAAGCTTGGGGGGGTCGGGCGGGGAGGGGGGGGTGTCCCTAAACCCTATAAACCCGAAAATTCGGCTAGACCCAAGAGAAACCTAGGAATAACACGGGTAGCCGTTTTGGTTTACTGGGGCTGTACAAGGGAACCTAAACCCTAAAAGAACAAAATAAAAACCTAGTCTGAGTCCTAGCCCTAAACCCTGAGCCAACTTTGCGTCCTAGTGGACCTGACCTGACGGATTTTCTATGGTGGGGAAGCGGCCCGCTCGCCTCGTAGCGGGATCCGTCTGTGTGGATGTAGAGCCCGGCTCCATGCGCCTGATCCTGCGGTTTTGAACTGGGGTGAATAAGGGCTTGGGTTTAGGCTTTAGGGTCGAGAGAATATAGGGTTTGTTTGGAGTTGAGTAAAGTACCAAACCTCAATACCCAGTCGTGGGTTCGCAGTATACCCCAGTACAGACCTCCTAATCTAAGCCCTAAACCCGAAACCCTGAAGCCTAAACCCTAAACCCTAAACCCTAAACCCTAAACCCTAAACCCTAAACCCTAAACCCTAAACCCTAAACCCTAAACCCTAAACCCTAAACCCTAAACCCTAAACCCCAACCCTAAACCCTAAACCCTAAAATCTTGTAAACCCTAAACCCCAAACTCCAACCCCACCCTCCCCACCCGCAGCCGCGCGCCTCCTGCCACCCCCCGATGTAGACATCTCCATCGGGATGCTCGTAACGGCCCTGTCCATGAGCCTTGCCCTTCGCCTGGAGTCTAGGTTCAGGGTTTAGGGTTTAGGGTTTAAGTTTAGGGTTTAGGGTTTAGGGTTTAGGGTTTAGGGTTTAGGGTTTAGGGTTTAGGGTTTTGGGCTAGGGTTCTTCCCCACTCCTCCCCAAGGCTCCCTTAGCTTCCCCAAGGCTCCCGAGGCACCTACGCTTAATGAACCCCCTCCCTTAAGAACCCCATAAGTCCATAAGATTTGGGGTTTAGGGTTTAGGGGTTATATGGGCTTAAGAACCCCATAAGTCCATAAGATTTGGGGTTTAGGGTTTAGGGGTGGGCTTAACATTGGATTCAGGGTGTGCAAAGGGTTCAGGGAATAAAAGGGGCACGGACCCTGGTCTCGGTTGACTCTGTCAATATGGCCCTGGGGGCGGGAGTAGTGGGCACGGGAGCCCTTATACACGCGATAAACCCTATGAGTCATCAACTCTAGAAGGAGCCCTATGCCCCCCCCCTCCCCCCCACCCCCACACCCTGTGAACCCGATGCCATGAGACCTAAACCCTAAACAACCCTAAACCCTAACCCTAAACCCTAAACCCTAAACTTCGTTAGCTCTGAGAAGCTCCATGGGTATGTATAGAGCCAGGGTCCTAGGGTTTAGGGCTTGGCGAGCTTCCTGCAAGGGTTTAATATGGGGTTAGTGGCTCGTTTTGGAGGCAAGGGGAAGGTGGTCAGAGGGCTCTGGCAAGCTTTTGGAGTCAGATTTTCTTGACCTTCCAGGGACTTTTGGCAAGGGATTGAGCCTCTAGACCCTAAGACCTAAACCCTACAACCATCTAAACCGAAACCCCAAACCCTATTAAGCCCCAAGATGGCAGAGGGACTCATCGATCCCCATGGAGCTTCTTGGGGCTCGGATCGCAAGAGTCTGCCAAGGCACCCATTGGCCAGAATACCGGCCGCCATCTGCCCAGACCTCCCAAGCGGAGAGGTTTACGGTTTAGGGTTAAGGGTTTAGGGCTTAGGATTGCGGGTTTAGGGTTTAGGGTTTAGGGTCCCACCTGTTGGGTCCATGGGCCGCAGGGCCCGTCTGAATCAAGCTCGTAAGCGCTTTGTTTGCCGCTCAGGGTTTGGAACACGACACACACACACACACACACACTCGCATTTGGCCATGGAAGGTCAACTGCCATGTAGTCTTTGGGAGCAGAGTTTAGCTAGGCTGCCCAGTAACCTAGGCTAAAAAAGGGTGCCCTTTTTTGCTTAAAGGGGTTTATAAGGGAACCTAAACCCCCCCAAAAAGGGAATAAGGTTACTGGGCATCCTAGTTAGGGCTTCAGGCAACCTTTCGCCACCTCGAAGAACTCCACAAGCCTCCGCCCCTCTCCAGTGCAGTCTGGAGAAGCAGCTCCAGTAGTCAAACGAAACCTCTTCAACCCTTTAGGGTTTAGGGTCTAGGGTCTAGGGTCTAGGGTCTAGGGTTTAGGGTTTAGGGTTTAGGGTTTAGGGTTTAGGGTTTAGGGTTTAGGGTTTAGGGTTTAGGGTTTAGGGTTTAGGGTTTAGAGTTGAAACCTGACATGCAAACTGCAGCGAAACCCTCCGCAAGATCCAAGTGCCCAAACGTGCTCTAACCCGACGATATGTTGGAGAACTGACCCGATGGGGTTCTGGAGATTTCTTAGGGTCCCCCAACAGTCAAGCGCAACCTGCCAAACCTTGCTTGTTTCGGTGTCAGGAGTGTTCAATGGGTGTTCGGAAATATTCAGTATCTGTTTAGGCAAGGAGTTCATAAATGCACGAAAACCCCTGAGCTCAGGCCCACCTCACCCCTCATCCCTACACCCCTTAACCTTCCCCGGGCCTGGGTTCCTACACCGTGCTGGAGGCCCCCCAGAAAGGCGCCCGTGTAGACGGATCCGTCGGGAAAGGAGTGCTGGCGTTGACAAGTTTGGGCTTTCGGGTTGAGTCTTTCAAGTGAACCCATAATAAGCTGGAAGTGAGTGGCTGGGGCATGAGGGACCTCTCAAAACATGCTTTGTACAACAAGACTTCTGAGTGCGTGTCCGGCATTGTCCGCGTGTTTGTGACGGCAGGTTTGCTTCGGACTGCAGGGAGGGGGGGGGGGGGTCATGTGTCTGGTAGAGCTGAGGGTCTAGCGCTTAGGGTTTGGGTGGGGCGCTGAGGGTTTGAGGACTTTGAGACTTATAACCCCGAAAGCACTGGAAGCCTAAAGTTAACAACCCACTTTAAAGCATCCAAAATACCGGGTAGTTGGACTTTTTTTAAAGCTTGAACCCCCCCTCCACTCCCCCAAACCACAGACCCTCAACCTTCTTGAGCCCATACTATCCAGCCTGATCAGCCCTTCACTTTACCGAAGCAACACACAACGTGCTCCTCGTTTCTGTGGGCCCAAACGAAGGCTTATAAGGGAGTACTGCTGGTAACCCTAAACCCTAAACCCTAAACCCTAAACCCCTATAGACCCCCAGAACCCACCCAGTGGCCTTCTCTTCCTGCCTGATCTCGTTCTCCTCTTCTCCGCAGGAGCACACTTGTCCCTGGCTTGGCGGCTGTGGGCTCATGAAGACGTCGGGTCCTTACCTTTTGAGGGCTTCAACCTGGGCTTCGAGATTTGCTTAAGGTTTAGGGTGACGGTCTGGGAACTTAGGATTTGGGGTTTAGGGTTGAAAGCTTGGGATTTTGTTGGGGGGGAGGGGTGCGGGGGTCCGGAGAGACCTGACAACGGGCATGCAGGTGGCATTGCATGCCCTAACCGCAGAAAACAACCAAACAACCATCTCAAACCTGCGCTTCAAGGACGTGTTGCCGTCTTACCAGGTTTTATGGTTTGGTAGGGCTCAGGGCTAGGGCTTCGAAGGCTTCTGAAAGGCTGCTTAAGATGCGGTATGGGGTAGAAGCACACCCCAAACCACAAGCCTGTACGCCCAGAAACCTCGAGGCCATCCTAAACCCAGGAGTCTTCTCGGTGAGTTGCCTGAATGGAGGCTTCTGAAGCAAAACTCCGCAGCAAAACCCCAAACCCTAAACCCTAAACCCTCAACGCTAAACCCTGACCCTTGAGGGTTTGAGGATCAGGGTTTTTAGGGGTTTGGGAGCTTTAAGTGTTGAGGGTTTAAGAGATGGGCTTCCCCCCCAAGCAGTTGAGTTCAAGCCTCGTCAAGCCTTGCAAAACAAAGCGAAGGAATAAAGCAAAGGGTTTAGGGTTTAGGGTTTAGGGTTTAGGGTTTAGGGTTTAGGGTTTAGGGTTTAGGGTTTAGGGTTTTCGGATTCATGCCCTCTAGGGTCTGCAAGGGTTGAAAACTTATAAAGCCCAGGCTCTACGGTGCAAGGTCTTTGGGGAGTTGAAGGCCCTCTCTCTGAAGCTTTCGACAGGCTCACGCCCATGATGACGCACTCACCATCGGAAGCTCAGGACGAAGGTGAGTTAGGCTTGGCTGCACTTAGGAGGGTAGCTATAAATAAAATTGTTAGCTGCCTTACGAGGAAACCCAATAAACCCCAAAATGGCTAAGGATCTAAAGTTACAGTAAAGCACCACAAAGTTAGGTGGGTCCTCTTGCAAGTTGTCTTGGCTGCAGATCTTGTATCTGGGGGGGCACATAGGCTCGTGAGGGAGAGGCCGGGTAATTAAGCCTATACTCCCCTTAGAACCTGAACAAACAGATTATGTTTAATATCCTCTTGGGTTTTCTATAAACAAATATAAAATATATTCCCAAGGGGGATATAGAAGCTTGGACCTCTGAGCATGGCGCCACGTATCAGGCTCATGGGCTCCAACCTCTATGAATGGGTTTGGGGGTTGACGGTTTCAGAGCTCTTGGCCCTCGGAGGGTCTTCATCTTTGATTCCTACTGCAGTGTCCGAGCCGTTTGGAGTGGCGCGCCAGTGCTCGCTTTGGGGCTCGTCCCCGCAAGCCCTTAAGCCCTGGAGACTATAAACCTACCGTATGAGGGTTTAGGGCTTAGGGGGGGTTTAGGGTTTAGGGTTTTTAGGGTTTAGGGTTTAGGGTTTATTTGGGGTTAGGGTTTTCTGAGGGTGTGGGGCTTCTGGGACCCTGATTCAGATCAATGCCAAGATCACCAGGCACACAAGAAAGCAGCCGCAGTGTGATGGAAAGATGCGAGGCGTTTGCAGCATCGTCATGAACAACAGGAGAACTAAACCCTAAATCCTGAACCCCAAACCCTCAACCCGAGACCCGAAACCCTAAACACTCGGCCCTAAACCCGACACCCTGAACCCTGCAACTTACGCGACATACGACGACACCTCCAGAACTCCCAGGAGTCTCGTTCGCCAGTTCTTTTCTTGCGCCTTTCCAAGCTGATTCTCCGTTCACCAGCACTAGCACTACCTTTTCAACTGACTGGTTCTTAATCGGAAACCAGGGTCTAGGGTTTGAGGTTTATAAGCTTGAGTGAAGTCGGCGCCCCATGTAGTCTCAGAAAAGGGTTGACGGTACAGGGTTTAGGGTTTCGGGTTTAGGGTTTGGGGTTTAGGGTTTAGGGTTTAGGGGGGGGGGGCTATGTCTATGGTAAACCCCGGAAATTCCCACTTAAGAACCGGTGCCGCAAAGCCCTACGTTGTTCAACTCGCTCTGGCAGCGATAGAATTGCCCGAGATTGCAGATGTTGGCCAGGAAGCTTTCTGGACAAATTACCGATGCACCGACTTTCCAATTATCCCGAGGAGCCGTCCTCGTGGTCCATTTCTCAAGTTCCTCAGTTCCTCCGCATCTTCCGGCGTAGTGTTTTTTTTTTTTTGGTGGTGGGGGGGGGGGGGCCGAGAAGGAAAATCTGGCTCCTCTGGGGTACTTATCGCCTTCGGCTGATGCTCAGTGACCCTGACATCCCCAAGGCATCATGCCTCTGCATTTAAACGTCCACGGTTGGCAAGAGTATGGGGGCCCCTTCCCAGGACTCATATCAGAGAAGGAATGGAACACGCAGACACATTGTTAGACCAGTATGCCCACCGACACTTGTCCTACAGTATAGTCAGCAGTCCACGTCAAGGCTCCCAGATCTATCCCCTGAGCTATAGCATCCGAAACTCACACAAAAACTTTCGGTCCACGGCATCTTGGATACCGCGGCTGAGCGAGAAAAAACACGCTGCGGCGCGCAGACGGCGATGGGAAAGAAGATGGCTGTTGTACAAGTGTCGAGGCTCAGAGCTTGTAGAGAACTAGGTGTCCATGCGTCCAGACGTACTCTTGGCAGCCTTATGCCGTATCGTGGTAGGGGGGGTGCAGTACCCAGGAGAAGCCCTAAACCCCAAACCCCTACAACCTAAACCCTCAACTCTAAACTCCTGAACCCCTGAACTCCAAAGCCCATAGCTCTTTCAAGCCAGGAGCTGCGGGATTTCCGACGACTCCGACCATGCAAGGGGCTGTTTGAGCCTTCTTCGGGCTTTTGGGGTTTCAGCGGTTGCAGGGTTTAGGGGCTGCAGGGTTTCGGAGTTTCGGGTCTCAGGTTTCAGGGCCGAGGGTTGAGGCTTTGAGGGTTTGAGGGTCTTGAACCCACAGGATTTACAGGTCCTTGATGCTACGCGCTGCGCATGGGAAAGGTGTCATACTGCCGACTCGCAGCCACAGCAGTGCTATGACATGTACGCGCAAAGTTTGAAATGACAGGCCGCAAACCCTACACCTGAAAACCCTACACCCCCCAAAAAAAACTCCCAACCCCCAAAACTGGCTTTTCACAAACCGGCCTGCCATCGCTGTGAAATGCTGCTGCCGTGCACCTGTTGCTGAATTTGCATCTGCACAGCAGCTTGTCACTACAGAAATGGGCTGCTGCAAGTATGGGGATTGTCGGCCTTCTTCGTTTTATTTCAGGAAATTCCTTGAACTTTCTTGGCTATTCTTGGCTGTCCCCTTGGCTCGCCGGGGTCAGGGACCCGAACAGCAGCCCTCAGAATTTGGATACGTCTGCCATACGGTGCTCCGGCGCAGGACGTCAAAGTCCCCCCGAAGGATGAACCCTAAACCCTAAACCCTAAACCCTAAACCCTAAACGAAGCCTGGGAAGCCCGAGAACTTCTGGAGTCATCTGCTCCAATCCCTCCGAACATCCCTCAGAAAGAATGAGGTGAACCAGCGCAGCCAACTTGAGATCTAAGCTTAAACCCTCTATAGACCCTAGACCCTAGACCCTAGACCCTAAACCCTAAACCCTATAGAAGCCTCTTTGAGAAATAGTCTTAGGGACTCTGCGGTAGGCGTAGGGGCTCTGGGAGGTGCCATTCGGCCTGCGCCCGGATTTCCCTATGGCTCTCTCGGATTACGAATTGGTGCTCTCTTTTCTCCTGAATTGTGTGCTCTCTTGGTCCTGAATTTTGTGCCCTCTTCCCTCCAGAAGGGAACAGCACCGTGAGTACATCAACCAAAGGGTACTATAGGGGCCTTAATAACTAGAATAAGGTTTTGGGGGTTATCAGAGTATAACTATACAGCGACCATAAGGCAAAACTATTTGTAATTATCCCGACCCCTATAGTATTTGCATGGCCAGCTTCGCTGTGCTCGGGCCGCAGCCTGTGAGCTGCCACGAACTCCTCATGATGAAGGGGCGCAGAGCGACTTAGATGAGGACTTGCCTTCAAAGCTTAGGATTTCGGGTACCCATGCAGGGACTCCCCCAAATAGGGGCCCCCTGAACCCCGATGTCCGAAACCCTACACGCCAAAATGCCAACCCCTCCCCCCCATCGCCCCCGAATTGGGTGACAGCCATGGTGTTAAGAGACCAAAGCTGGGAATTCTGATCCGCTCAGCACCATCTTAGTCACGCCAGTAGCGCCAGGTCGTCACCTGGAGATACAGAGCCGAGTGAAGGATGTTGGCGGTCCTCTAAGCTACGGCGCCTTGTTGCAATTCTACCCCCCAAAAAACAGACAAAGAGAGAAAGAATGACTGAATGACTGCCCATGTAAGGCTGTAGGGTGTAGATTGGGATGTTCTCCCGTATACTAACAGTCCACAATCGGGATTATCTTACCCCCGATTTTAGAAACTATTAAGGGCTGTTCGTGTAAGGGGCAAGCCAGCAAAGCGAAAGCCAGTGACCGAAATTTGTGTCCACTGTGTGGAACTCACATAACCCATCCCTATCCCTAAACCCTAAACCCTAAACCCTAAACCCTAAACCCTAAACCCTAAACCCTTACTTCGAGGCGTGGAGTCGGCTGGATGGCCTTTGAAATTCCGGCTTGTGGGTTTAGGGGGGGTTTAAGGGTGGAGGGTTTAGGGGTTTTGGGTTTAGGGGCTTAGGGGCTTAGGGGCTTAGGGGCTTAGGGCTTAGGGCTTAGGGCTTAGGGCTTATGTAGGGCTTGCGAGGTAAGGGTTTCGGGTTCATGTTTACGAGACTTCGGGCATTCCCGACTATAAACTTGTGGAAGAGCTCCGGGCTTCCGAGTACGACTCCGTGGTGCTGGGAGAGCGAGAGCAGTGTTAACAAAGTTGCCGGGGGATATCTGGCGTTTCTTGTCGCAATTAAGGGATCATCAGGGCTGAGAGTGTTGGATGCTTGATTCAGGTAAACCTAAACTCGGCTTTCCCTCCAAAACCTGCGTGCCCTATGGACGCTGCGGGTATTCACACTACAAGAAAGCCCCCCCCCCCTACACACCCCCAAATTGCCCTAAAACCACTTACTGGATGGTTCTTAGTAGGGAATGAGGGAATGAGGGCCATATTATATACATACACATATATATATATATATACATATATACATATATACCTATGCATATATATATATACCCTTTCATGGATTATATAGGGCTCTTATTCCCTCATTCCCTATTAAGAACCAGGGAGCTTAACCCAGCCCTAAAGGACTTTCCAAAGGGCCTCGGCCCCCTTGCCACGGCCGCCCGGCTCGTCCATCAGAGCCACGCCGCGTGAGTGCAAGAGCTGAGGCAGGAATTGAGGTTTAGGGTTTAGGGTTTTAGGGTTTAGGGTTTAGGGTTTAGGGTTTAGGGTTTAGGGTTTAGGGTTTAGGGTTCCGGGTTTAGGGTTTAGGGTTTGGGGTTTAGGTTTAGGGTTTAGGGTTTGGGGTTCAGGGTTTGGGGTTCAGGGTTTAGGGTTTGGGGTTTAGGGTTTGGGTTTAGGGTTTAGGGTTTAGGGTTTAGGGTTTAGGGTTTAGGGTTTAGGGTTTAGGGTTTAGGGTTTAGGGTTTAGGGTTTAGGGTTTGGGGTTTAGGGTTGGGAACCGGCGAGGGTTTAGGGGTGCAGGCTTGAGGACGCAGGTTAAGGAAGAGTTTGAAAGAAGTATGGATTCATACGATTGAAATAGGGTTTAGCGCATAAGTTGTGGGTCTGGCTCTTTAGGGCTGTAGGGTTTGAGTTCAGGGAATGGGGGGCTTTTAGGAC